GTTATACAAATTTCCACTGTTAAAGTCCTATAATTGCTGTGTCGAGAATACCGACTAATTTGTCAATCGAAATTTTTTCGTTTTCAATAACCTCTGCATCACTTTCTTCTTTATCGGAAGCAAATTATAATGATGAGGAATTTGATTTAAATCATATCAGAGACGGAGTACATCGAGATGAAATACTACATTTAGTAAGGAATTATAAGCCAAATAAAATAAAAACTCTCTGCCCTGAAGATAAGGATAGTGCTGACAGATTATCCAATTCACTGCGTGCCGCGGCATCCCCCCCCTGGCCGCAGAGTAGCGTGAAATTGATAAACAGATTTTGGAATGGTTTGAGAAACAAAGGATATGCCTTTATCCATTTTTTGCAGCAATTCCACTTTTTGTTTAATGGACTTCGAAACATACTTTCGCTTTGTAGATCCTTTACATATTAGTAAATATATATCGGAAATTCTATTTGACATAATCGAAAGTTCAAGCTTACTTTTATAAAATTGCTCTAACAGTCTGCAAAAAATAATAAGCCGGATCCAATTCGAAGATTAAGGAACCACGCAATCTGCAACATTAACTGAATTAGATAATTTTACCTTAGCTTATACTGACCATTATACATTAAACTCGCATGCGTAAACGTATTACGCGCATGCGCACATGCATGTTCGCAGCCATAAAAGCCTTACGCGAATGAGCAGAAAGTTTGTAGCTTTGAGGTCAGGATTATAGATCATTCCGGATTATGGGTGTCCGAATTAACGTCTTTCGACTGTATATATATAAATTCCTTGCTTAACATATATGACTCCTATTGATAGCCAGAAACAATAAATGCAATGTACAACTAAAATGGGTGTTGTGAGTGCAATGTTCTAATATAAACGCCCAATTGTGGACCTTGTGGGATGGTTTTCCGAAATCTTATGTAGACAGTGATTTTTCTCTTATTCTCAAAGTCATATGTCCAAAATTTAATCAAGTTTGGAATAAAACTGCAGGTTGTATGAATTACACACACAAAAATAAACCAACAGACACTCTTCTTTATATGTATAGGTGAATTTAATGCATCCAGTCAGTAAATAATAATTGAAATTAATTTGCATTTATTTTTTTAATTACTTAGTTTGTTGAAATTTAAATATTATTCTTTGCTGAATGACAGCATATTGCCATACGGAAGATAAAAATACTTTAATTTGGGCAGTGGCAACACATTTCTTTTAAAAAGACTGAATTTATTTCTTAAATTTGGAAAAAAAAAAAAAAAAAAAAAAAACCTGCATTTTGCTGAGATGCAGGCAACATATTTCTTTTACATTGCTTTTTTTTCTGATTAAATTTGAAATATAAATATATTAGACATTGCAGAGTGGGAACAACTCTTTCAAATCCTGAATTTTTAATCAAAAGTTCATTAATGTAGGGAAAAATCTATATACATAAAGAGTATGGACTCCATGGAGTGGCTTTTCAAAATCTTGTGCGGATAGTGAACTTCCTCTCATTTCGGAAGCAAGTACGCAAAATTTCATCCAGACCAGAATGAAACTATTTGTATGAATTACACACACACATAAACAAACAGGCACTCTTCTTTATATAATGAAATTAGCTGCAAAATAAAATATTTATTAAATGTACATACCTAAAAGCTATGTTAACTCGTAGCAGATAGAGACATGTAAAAAAATATCATCATCAGTGTAAAAATTAAGCATAATGTGTGTAATTAAGCATAATATAAAATTAAACATTCTAAAAAGTAACATTATGTGTATTATTCAAGAAGAAAAGAAAAACAGAATGATATACAGTAGAAACATGACTACCCAAAAGCTTGAAAAATGCTAATTGATGTGATAGATATGTGAAAATTCTGGATAGCTATGCATATAAAAAATGTAATTCACCTTATAATAAACTGAAAAAAATGGAAGAAATTTCTGGTCTAAAACTACAAAAACAGTCATCTTATATATTACCAACTTGAATATTAAAAGATATTAAATTATATAACACTAAAAAAAAAAAAAAAAAAAAAAAAGGAAGAAGGGGGAAGAGGAAGAAAAGCACTTCAAACAAGAAAGCAAATATAATGCATATGCATTAAACAGGGAAACTGGTGTGGAGGTGTTGCAAACTTGGACCTATCATTTCGATGGGTAATAACAGTTAGTTTAGAGGCATTGATGAGAAAAATCCCATCTTAGTTATTTTTCAATAACTTGCAAAAGCAATTTTGATCATGAATTTGTTTTATAAAATTCTAAACTACTGGACGACAAAAATACAGATTATAGCAAAATGTTTATGTCATGTGTAAAGAATGATAAATACCTTAAAGTACCTTTAAAATGTCACAAAAATATAATGCAATTTAAAGCACAATTTCCTTATAACTAACTGGTATAAGTGTAAAAATTTGTATACTTCTTCCGATACCTTTAATAGTGTATTTGCTACTTTTCTTTTATGTTACAAACAACAAAATGTTTTAAATAAAATATATATTTTTCATTATCCACATAATACTGTAATATCCCCTTTTAAAAAATTTTTAGGGGAGAGGCAAAATAGTTGATCATTTTAAAATCAGCTATTTATTTTTATATAATGGAAAAATAATCACTTTGGGTTTATTTATCATAACTAAAAAATGAAACTACCTCCGAATCCTGCAATTCTTGCTAAAGTTAATAGATAGATATGCTAATAAAGTAACCTTCCCTTCATTTGTAACCATATATTCGTGTAACGTTGTATAAAGGAACATTTGCCAATTCAGTGGAAGTTCCATGTGCGGCAAGATGATGTGAACGTGCCATATCTTCATGACAGTTGCTTAGGGATTTGAAAGTAGGATAATGTCAATGTTATTAACAGGTATATCGATACATTTGCATATTGGTATATTTTGGATTACCTTGCAATATGTAAATTTAGATCAATTAGGTTTGAAAGTAGGATAATGTCAATGTTATTAACAGGTATATCGATACATTTTGCATATTGGTATATTTTGGATTACCTTGCAATATGTAAATTTTATGTATTTGCGAATTTAGATCAATTAGTTGCTTTAAACATTTCAAAAACTGAAGCAATGTTGGTATGCAGAATAAGGCAATCAAGACTGCAATTTGATGACAATAAGGTTAATGTTTAAATGTGAAATGGATACTTGTTATTTCTTATATTATCAGAGAACTATAACTAGGTAAAATTGCTAAGCGAGGGATTGAATGTTCTCCTAAAATATATTTACTACAAATTTTGAATTTTATAATGAATGTATCTAAAAACAAGTTTTAAATCAAAAGTTTTAAATTTGATTCTAAATGTAAATACAAAATTATGCATGCTAAATTATTTGTAATTAGGCACATAGGTCAGGTTAATTTTTTAAATACGGTAAACTATGCAAGGGCTATCTGCCTAAGGGTAGAAATGCCTTCCTGGAAGAATTTCAAAGGAAAACTGGCCTTTGAGTATGTATTAAAAAAAATGCATATGATTTTCATTCAATTTATATTTACACATATTTCTTATGTAAAAATATTCTGATATAAGCTAATTTATTTCAAATTACTTTACTTGAAAAATATAGTGAATGCACAAAAATTAAAAGATTTGCACATGCCAAAAATGAAAAATGTGAAATATATATGGGTATGAATGCATCTCATTCTAAGAAGCATGTATTTGCTCTTAACAAAATATGTAAATATTTATTAAATTATTTATAAATGTTATTGTGAAGAAATCTAGTTATTAAATATACCTTAACATTAAACTGTTAGCATAAATTGAAATTCTGTTGACAAATATATTTATAAAACTACTTAAACAAGAATTGTTCATACTGGAAAACAATCTATTAAAAGGTGCTGTAAAGCACAGTCTATGAGATATGTACTTAAGGAAGCAGTAAAGTAGAATTTTCAGAATAGGTATTGTTGAACTTAAGGAATAAAAAAAAGCTGATAAGTATTAAAAGAATTATTCCTGTACATTTTATAACTCAGTTACACAAGTTTTAAATAATATTTTTTTAAAAAAAATCATTTTTTAATCCATTTAAAAAATATTCATAGAAAGTACATGAAATATTCAATGTTTCACTATTCAAGTAAAAGGTGCTCTAATTTTCTTTCAATTTAAAAGATGCCTCAGAAGCTAAAAATTATCTCTTATTTGAGAAAGTATTTCAGAAAGAAGCTGTGTAAATAGAAAAGAAATAATGTGTAATTTTAATTTTAACAATACAATAAACTTTGATTTATTTTTTGTATTTGTTAACCGAATAAAATCAAATTACCTTAAAATTTCTTTCTAATGTAATTATTGAAAACTAGTGAAAATATTTCATTCATATTAAAACTGTTCTGGAAAAAGTATAGCACTTATATCTGTTCAAAATGAGATGTAGTTTAAAAATGTATTCTTTCATATACTTAGAACTCTGAAATACTGTAGAAAAAGAAAATTATATATTTATATGTATATTTTTGACAGAATTACAAAATGCTTTCCTCCAATTATGTCAAAACCTATTCATCTTAATGGTAACTGAATGTTTTGGCCTCCAAGGGGGATGCACCACTGCTTCAAGGCACGGAAAAACCAGGTAGGACCTATGGTCTTATTTCCTACCTCCATGATGCTGTTCCATAGAGAGAAGGTCCCAAATATTAACTTTTTTTTTTTAATTCAAAGAAGAAAAAAATTTACATCCTTCTTTTCAAAAATTATACCAGCTCTAAGGATTAATCAGATTCACATAAAATGCAGGCAAAGTTCTTAGATTATGCTGTGATGTTATGTGTATCCATTATTTGAGATAAATCACACTGTTTGGCAACAACGCATGTGTGCTAACAGTACAATGAACTCTATAATGGTATTATAAATCTCTCATTAACTTGATTTTTTGGGGTAAATTTTCTTTCTAAAATATTCCAGTTAGCTGAATGTTGGATAGCTTGGCTTTACAGTAATAAAAATCAATACTGAAAACGCACACCAAAATAAGACAATATTTCATAAAAATAATTAATATTTACCTTAGCTGATACTATTCGACATAAAACTTCTCCTCGAATTGAACTCATAACACCATTAAAGCAATCAATAATTGGTAGCAATGTTTTTAATCGTCCATTTTCAGCCAAAGCAACTAAAAAAAGATGTATTTTAATATTTCTTACTTATAAATATTTAATAACTTAATAAAACTAAAAAATATAGAAAATGTCTCAATAAATGAAAAAATATATTAGCAGAACACCGATCAAAGATTAGAAGATGTACAGTAAAATGAAAAAAAAAAAAAAAACAGAATTGTTTTAAAAGTTTATATATATATATATATATAATACACTTTGTATTCACCTAAATTGGTTGCGCTAAAAAAATAAGCAACAATTGCTGACAGAAAAAATATGAATGTAAATAGGGGAATTAAAACATACAATTTACATACAAGGTAAAGGATGTGTTTCCTAATGCAGATAGGTAACCAAAATTAGCATAAAATGCAATCTGCATCAGACCACAATGCCTCAAAAAGTGGCACGTTGGAACTATGCGTCAGTTCACAAGGAGCGATAGTTGCATGTAGTCTGAGATAGCCAAAGTGAAAAGCACAAGCCTAAGACACTATGTGCATGGTGAAATGTATTGGAGGGCTGTCGAGATATAGCTGAATATTGCTTTGGTATTGATAACTAAGGGATCAAACCGTTGTAGAAGATATGGGTCTGGATGCCAAAGGATGAACACAATGGCAGTCAATCGCTTAATGTTGCTACGTGTAAAACGCCATTCATCACTAACAGCACGACAGCTGGCATCACATCTCTCTGCTGCTGCAGGATAGCAAATTGCCCCACAAAGTGTGTCGCATTGACTGCATGGAGGTGGACTGTACACCCGATGACCTATGGTTTGTGTTCCTTTGTCCCCATCACATGTCAGAGTGCAGTTGAATAGGCCTGTGAACATTGCAGTGGGACCATGTACTATTTATGGATGAATCTCGGATTTAATATCCAGTGATTCCCAAAGAAAAATGATATGGCGAGAGGCAACGACACTGTACGAGGCAGTAAACATCGCCAAAGTAGACCATTACGGAGGAAGAAGGTTACTTGTATGGGCTGAGATAGCAACAAATGGCTGCACTGACATCTACAGATGATTCCTTGTGGTTCCGTCACAGCCATTACAATGAAATGCTACACCCTCTTGCGTACCCTTTTATCGTTGCAATGGGCATTGACAAGATACTTATGGACGATAACGCCTGCCACATACTGCTCAAGTGGAAGAATCTGGAGAGTGAAAGTATTCCACATCTGCTGTGGCCTGCTAGATCATTAGATCTGAATCCCAGAGAGCATGTGTGGAACATGTTGGGATGGGACAATGGATAGTAGGTCACAGTATACCATTGGGCACCCCCCCCACACACGAGCTCCAGCTTTGCTACAGGAACGGATACTTCAGTCACAACATGTGATCAACGATACTATTGCCAGCTTGCTCGACATTGTCAAGCATGCATTTTAACTAGAGGAATCATATCTATTATTAGTGCGATGTTTCATTACACATTCTTCCAACCCATTTTGTCTTTCATGACATGATGGTCATAATACATGTGTTTTTATATGTCTTTATTGTTAGTTAAGTGATCTAGTAATGCCACATCACTCTCTTAGATCAATTTCACGAATATCCATTAAATAGTTTTTGATTTTATTCTCATGTTTTGCCTTTGTTGCTTATTTTTTTAGCAGGAGTGTACATTTCTATACAACATAAGTCTACATATCGGAAACTTAAAAAAAAAAACCTATGTACCCTGGAGAAGGATGACTTTGTAAAGAATTTTCTATGGGAAATTTGCTAATATTTACAATACGTATGGCAAAAAGCACAAGAATTCCCATGACATCCATTCAACTTTACCATCAAGAATCAATCATGGGTATAAGCCTGAGTATTCTATGGCTTCAGCTGCTCAGTGTTTGGTGTATTGAATTACGTCAAAGTATAATCTGCTTAATTCTTTGCGTCTCAGTGAATCACTTCTGAATCCTTTAAATTCAACCGTAAATAGATAAAAATGCCTTTATAATATACTTTGAACTTTTCTTTTTAAACAGTAGATAGCAGCATATCACAAGGAGACACAGAATTTTCATTTTATAGTTATTAAAATCCACTTTTTTTTCAAGTAATTTTCTCTATTTTTTTAATGATATAAAAAATTTTATTTGGAAAAAAAAAAAAAAATTAGGCATAATTTTGCTGGCTGTACTCCAAATTATCTGTTCTATATTTTTTTTAATCTTTCAGACAAAAACCATACACAGAATCACTGAATAAACCTGGGTGTTACATTAGCGGGAACACTGCGCCTTTAGCGATCTCATGCTGTTATGAATCAGAACATCTGTGCTTAGGAGAGAGCATCCGTTGTTTACATTTTCTGTTTCTGTTGCTTTGGGGGAGGGGAGGAATTCGAACAAAGCAGTATTGAGGGGTGAAGTCTGTTTTATGTTATGAAAGTCTTAATATTGGCATCTCAAATTTTTTGGGACTAGTTTTAAGGCAGGAATTTTATTAATAGCTTGACTCATCTTTATTTAGACCCACGCGAATTTTTTGCTGTCGCTTTTTAGTCTCATTCCCGTTTATTTTCAATAATTGTGTATATATTTTTCGTGTATGTATATATCATAGGCTTATTTTCTTTTTGTTAATATTAATCGTAGTTAATTTTTTACTATTAATTTTCCATAAATGGCGTGGAGAGGTCAATCTTCTTCCAAAATTTTGTAAATATTTTTGTATAGGACTTGTGTATATAGATCTTTATCTCTTATCTGTATATATCAAGGAATATGTGTTATCCAGGAAACTATGGTACAGCCATAATACAGAGTTTTTTCAGTCTTATAAACGCTTCTACTCATTTTCGTGCTTCACTGTAATGCTCACTTAGTCGCACTTTTAAAAGCTCTGGCGGTGCAGTGTTCCACCTCATGGAACACCTACAGAATTAAAACGGTAAGTGCATCTTTTACAAAATTTTACCTGTATACTCCTTTAGGACTAAATAGACTGCATACAACTTTTTTTGTTGAAATTCCGACGTTAATGTATAGTGAGCCGCAAAGAGTTAATGGGAGTATGCCTTTGTGGTCGACTTTAAGCTAAACTGTCTCGTATACATGTTACACATGGGAAAAACCATGAAAACGTCCTTGCAGCCAGCTCGTTTGCCTGAAATTGAGACCAGGTCAGAACTACCAGTGTTCAGCAACTTTACTACTTGGCCACTGGTAGACCAATACTTGGAGGGTCTTAATCAATATTTATAAAATTATAAGGTATTTCTTAGCAATACTACACCACGAAAAGACCACTACACCACAGTTAAAAAGACCACTACACCACGAAGGCCTTCTCAGCATGCCTTCGTGGTGTAGTGGTCAGCACGCTCAATGTGCATTCCACAGGTCCATGGTTCGAGTTCCGGCGAGGGCACTGCTCACTTTTCAGGTCTCCTGCTTCAAAATAACCTAATGTCTCTACAAAGTAACCAGTTTCATATTATTTCCTAAGGAAATGATAAAAAATGCAAAAGCATTTCCCAAACACTTTAATCTTTGAATCATGTTTTACAATCATTTATTTAAAACTGATTAGCCAGCAAACGTCTGATTACTGCAGTTTAAAAAAAAAGCTTTTCTTTTAGATTATAATGATGATAGAGCAAATCTTGCAATTATAATTTTTTTACAAGCTGCTATAATATGGCTTAATTTTAATATAAAGATTTACAATATATACCAAAATATTGCAGAAATATACTACATATAACACGTGAATGTATAATTTTGTCAAGCTAAGATAGCAAAATAATAAACAGCAAGTGAATTGATAGATCTAATTGCATATATAAGTTTCAAAAAGTCAAAGAAGGTCAACAATAATTTAAATAATGGATCGTCCGAGAGTTTAAATCTGTTATTTTTGAAAGTAAATTGTACATTTTTTCCAAAAAGGTTATGAAAACCTAAGGAACTGATGTACAAGAAAAACTACACCCATGCCTTTAATATAAGTTGTTCTTCTTTTTATTGGCATTTCTGTCATTAAAGTTACAATGAAATAATCAGCAAAGAAGACTGAAATTACTTTAAAGAGTGACAGTTTCACTTTTCCATATGTATACTGCTTTAATTTTATAAATAAATTCAAAGTAAAACTCCATTTCTTGATTTATAATTATCTCAACTTTAGTGTAGAAATACAAGAACAATGTAAGATCAGCACTTAAAGAAAATGAGTTCTATAATTTTAAATCTTGGGTATGTTATATAATGTCACTGAACATTTATTAATTATCCCAAGAAAAGATACTTTATAAGTGAAATATTTGGATTTGGCACTATAAAATAATTTACTGTAAAAATTAATATATGCATCTACTCTGAAAATGAGAGCATTAAATATAACATAAATCAGAACTTATAATAAAATTTTCCATACTTTCCAATTCTATATATAATTATAAAATGTCAGCAACACATTGTTGATTTTGTGAATTTGCGGAAAATATTTCTTTGGCTATTTTTATGGCTCAGAGTTACAACTTACTATTCTGCTTATAACAATACAAAGATGTACTTTTAAAGAAACAGGAAATTTTATTAGAAATAAAAAACTAAAATCTGCACTACTGATACACTTTTACAGCTGGCAGGATAATGAATAAAGCAGCTTAAATCCATGCTTATTAAAATATGTGTACGGTACATGAATGCATGGAATGGCTATTGCCCTATACGTAGTCAAAGTCATGGCAGTTGAACTGAAGGTTGAAACCATGGATGCATATAATTAGAAAGTACCAAATTTTCTATTAAAAATAACTTGGTTTCTTTCTCCTATTTAATTCTGCATCAAAAAGAACAGCTAATTTTTTTTTTTTTTTTTTTTTTTTTTTTTTTTTTTTTTTTTCTTTTTTTTTTTTTTGTTTTTTTTTTTTTTTTTTTTTTTTTTTCAACTAAAAATCATTTCATGCTGCTACGGGTAAAACCTGGTTCACACGAATCTCAAGAGACAAAATCAAGAGTTCATGTCAAAAATATTCGTGTTTACTGGGGGGGGGGAGCTGGCTCCAGACTATTTGCCGCCTTGTGCAAAATTGTGGTTCTTCTCCCTTGTTTAGCAAGTACAACAATGCTTTCCAATTAGTTGAATTTCTTCAGTTCCCAGCAGGATTTAGCCACCGGTGGTACTTTCAGTTAGGTTTTCATTCACTTTCCTTTTGATTGTGTTACAGTCAGGAACCACAGAAAATATGTACTTACATTCTTTCTCAAGTGAAAAATTTCTGTATACTGCACTGTTGCAGGTGGGAATGAAAATGCCTGGTAACTTATCAGCCAACTGTACTCATGGCTTCTGCAAAACCAGCAATCAATTTGGAGATTGCAGCAAAATATTCTAAAGTGTCCAAAATGTGTAACACTTACTGGAGGGTGAGCAGAATGATACTGTTTTCCTCACCTTCTTCTGATAACTTTTCCTGCACTTCAGACACACAGCTTTCGCTGCAGTACACGTGGCAACATAGTAATGTGCACTAACAAATTCCTGAAAAATAACATCAGGATTCAGAACACCTCTTGTAAAATATTCGATTCGTCAGTTGAAGTGATATCGTTATTACAATCTAAGTGATCAATTAGTGTCTTTATGACTCCAGGCTATGAAAAAACATTTCTGTATGTACTGTGATGAGACTTATTTCCAGAACGGATTTGCAGCTTTTTTTGAACCAAACACACTCCAAGTTAGCCTTTTCATCTCCTTTTCAGCAGCATTAATCGCAGCCCTCACAAGTTCCACTCAATAAGACCTCTTCATGATGCCCTAATCCAAAGATTGAAAACAATATACTGCATTTGGGGGGAGGGGGTAAAATGAACCTTTACATTGGTAAAGTTGGAAAACTTTCAAAGTTCATGTTAAATGAAAAAACTCTAATGATGCAATGGACTAGAAAACAGTTCATAATTCATACTAACCAAATTTCATGTTAACTTACAAATCTTCCTATAAAATTATGTATATTAGTGCCAGCACCAAAATTTTGTTCATGTTAACTAACTGTTTGCCTTAAACAAGTTACTTATACTTACCTAATAAATTAAGAGTAAGTGGTGTGTAATTCTTCTTTGAAAAGATTTTAGCCAATGCATCTGAAAAGTTGAATATCTGTTATCTACTTTGTACACTAGTAAAAAAAAAAATTTTTTTTTTTTGTAATTTATATGAATAAACTACAACAAAAACAGCTTTCCTGAAGAACACACAAATAATTAATAAATATATGTTAAATTTAAGAAATTCCAAACAATTTGTAGAAAAAAATAATAACAAAAGAGAAAATTAGAAAATCCAAAACTTAAATTTAACTGTTATACTTTTCAGTCATAAATGCATATAACTAAAAAGCAAATTTTAAAATTGGCACTACCACTTTCTTTTTTTTTTTTTTTTTTTTTTTTTTTTTTTTTTAAAGAGAGAGAGAGATCAATATATATTTTCTAAATCATTCTCTCAAAAGTGGAAGCAATAAAATACGAAACAACTGATAAATAAAATTAATCAGTGTAATATTAGCATCAATTCCTGTCATTTACTAGCCGTTACTTTAAAATTTAGTTATCTGGCAAGTTCTTTTTGTAATACTGCTCTAAGCATATTTATATCACTTTCTACAACACAGCACTTGATACTTAATTTCCAGTTGAATATGAATTTAAAAAATGTATCGAGTATAAATCAAACCTTCATAACTAAGATTCAGATTTAACTGAATTTTGAAGTAAATTGGTAAATTATGGTTAAGTGAGAAAGGAGAGGGAAGTGTTAAATGGCTAAATGAGGAGGTGATGGGGAAGGGATTCTGAAAACTTTAGACTACAGTCTAATACTCAAGAGAAACTCTTATATAAATAATACTGTTGGCAGCTAATAAAATCTCTATATTGAAACAAAATTAAAACAAAGAAATTTCAATTTTGAAATTTATTTCTGCATTTCTTTCCTGAATGTAAAATGTTATAAATAGGAGAATGTCAATATTTTAAAAAGTACATTGCAGTTAAAAGGAAGGGGGGAAAGTTAAGAAAAAAGCACAGATAATCAGAAAGTACTGTAATAATAGTAACACCTCTTCCAGGTGTTAAAGAAAGAAACATGCATAACAAATGTGATGCAAACATGATTTACATTCTACCAGAATGAACCACTGCCTCTCTTTACATAAGTGTACGAGATACAAAAATGTTTCATACTGTTTGGGATGCAGATAAACAGTTTGTACGTACTAATAAATTTTATTTCCTTTTAAGCAATTATAAACACTCTCTCAGTATCAAGTGGCGGTAATATTCACTGTTTCATATTTAGGTAAGCTCATTTAAAGAAAAAGTTCAAAAGAAGAAAAAGCATCTACCAAATTTCATTAGTTAATCAGTTTTATACCAAATGGCACAACCTATTTTACAGACTATTTTGTTTGTAAAAGGAATCTTTATGCTTATCATTTCTTTCCATGCAATTTTTGCATTGAATTTGCAAAGAGCTTTTAAAATGCTGTCTTCGAATCTTTGTTATCAATTTAGTGTCAAACAGAATTTTTTTTTTTTTTTTCACATTTACATTACAAAGAGTTGAAACAAGAAGTAAATGAAATAAATTATACAGTTAAAAGTCGTTAATCCGGACTCGTCGGGACTTTGGCGATTTCCGGATTATTGATTTTTCTGGATTATAGATCATCAGTTTAAATCTGGTAAGATGGCATGCAGAAATTATAACATTAAAAATACAAAACCGCAATTTATGAAATAAAGAACAATTATGATTTAAAGGGTATCAAAATTTACATAAAAAAGCTTAATATTTATTTGTTTACTTTACTTTCTTCGCTATCGGAAGCGAATTATAATGACGAGGAATTTGATTTAAATCATATCAAAGACGGAGTACATCGAGATGAAATACTACATTTAGTAAGGAATTATAAGCCAAATAAAATTAAACCTCTGCCCTGAAGATAAGGATAGTGCTGACAGATCAACTTCCAATTCATTGTGTGCCACGGCGTCCCCCCCCCCAGCCGCCGCCGCAGCGTGAAATTGATAAACAGATTTCGGATTTCGAAACATACTTTCACTTTGTAGATCCTTTACATATTAGTAAATATATATCGGAAATTCTATTTGACATAATCGAAAGTTCAAGCTTACTTTTATAAAATTGCTCTAACGCAATCTGCAACATCAACTGAATTGGATAATTTTAGCTTAGCTTATACCGTCTGTTATACATTAAACGCGCATGCGTAAACGTATTATGCGCATACGCACACGCATATTCGCAGCCGTAAAGGTCTTACGCGCATGCGTAAACGCCTCTGCGCAGAAAGTTTGTAGCTTTGAGGTCCGGATTATAGATCATTCCGGATTATGGGTGTCTGAATTAATGACTTTTTACTGTATACAAAAAAAAAAAAAAAAAAAAAAAAAAAAAAAAAAAAAAGAGCAGATGGTAATATAGCACATACCTTTTTTGACATTCACTTTTAACAGAGGATTCATCACAAATTCGGCAAATTTGACATCTTGTTTTAATAAAACCTAGATTTATTCAACAAATTTTTAATACGTCTATAATTTTCAAATTTGAATAAATAAACAAAGAATCATCACCATAAATTCTCAGTTACTAATGTATTAAGTTTACACAAAAACATCCAGAAACATAACTTAAACTAGATTACAAACATAAAAATATATATTTACATTTAAATAATATATTAAATAATTTAAAAATCTGCTTAATCTGCACTTTCCTCTTTTTGAGATAAAAATGACTCTGAAATTTGCATATCATCCTAAATTTAAAATACCAAATTATCATTGTTACATTCACCTTCAGATCTTTTATATCTTTTTCCACAGCATCCAGTTTTTTTTCTTTCATAGCAGCAGAATACAAAGCAGTGGCATAACGACCTTCAACTCCAAAAACAGGAACTGGTGGCTGTAAATCAAAGATACTTTCATGTTTAGCAATATGAGCTAACTGACACATAGAAAAATGTGATTTTTTTAAGAAACATAATTTTTCACTTAACTTACCTTGAAATCCATGTATTTACATTATTAAAATTATGTAAATCCTAGCACTTAATTGCAAAAGCAATTTAGCAACAAAATAACAGAACTCTTCCTCACTTATCTAAAGATTATGCTAAAGGTTTAATTAAAATGAAATGATCATGCATAAAAATGTATTTGATTGAAATATACAAACAAACAATCATAATAACCTGCAAAATGACTCTCCTTATTAATTTCATTTTAGATTTACACACGCCATATATTTATATTTGAAAAGCTAGTATGCAACTTATAAACTATAAAGAAAAAGGATTTCTAATAACTGCTAATGATAGAGAAATATTAACGAAAGCCAGTAAGTAATCATGAAGAATTTTGATTCTAAGTATCCTGCAGAATTTTTTACGTAATTAAAATGATTGAAAGACTTTACTTAAATCAACTGCAGAAATTTACCTTACTGAGAATTTAATTACAATTTCATCAATTTAATTGTAAAATTTAACTACCTTAATCATAGCCGCCTGTCTTAGAGGAGTAGTACTCAGCTGACGAACCTAAATTGAATGTTGAAAAAATATAGAAAATTTATTTAAACATAGCATAAAGAAACTGCATCAACATACATTATTTTTTATGCTAAACTAAAAGTCAAGTCAAACTAAACTGGAACTAAAAGTTAAGTCACATTTTCCAAGATAAATAAATAAATTACATTTCATGTACAAATTAAGTTGCCCAGAAAATGAAGTAACACCCCATTTTCATAAGAATTATAAAAGAAAAATGGTACTTTCTGATTATCCCACCAAAAAAATCATGTTCAGAAAATATTTGCAAACTTGCTGATGACTTTGGAGAGAAATATTTGGGTATTTTTATATCTTTTTCAATTGCTAGTGCAGCTTACTTTTTTAACATTCTTCTTTTTCCACAGAAGACAAGAAGACTTTTTGGTTTTTTGTGCGGTTATTCTTCCTATGTGCACAGTGATACGTTTTTGCTAAAAAAAATCTAAATTGCACAAACTTGGCATTGTGCATAACTTCAAAAGCCTAAAATGAGAAGGGGGAAAAAATATGCATGATGCCTTTTATCAAGCCACATTACATCCTACTTGTGCAGAAAGCTGACCAAAATTTTGCTGAAGGCAATTAAAACTGCAATATAGTTTAACCATGCCAGCCAGAACCAGAGCAAAAATACACATGTGCCATTCAGAGCGATTTATTAACGGAATAGAGTTGATGGCACATAAATCATGTCATAGGGGTTTTTTTCCTTAATTATTTTCAATGTATTCAAAGAGCACGGATTTAAGGAAGAGGAAAATTTACTTTTAACTCTTTGAAGGGCGGTGGTTACCTACAGTAAACACTTTTTCAACTGAACGTCTTACTCACTTGTGCAAGTGGTTTTTCAAGACTGACTGTTTCTGAGGTTCCCTTGTAGCTCACTAGATGGCAATCAAGAAACATAAGCCAGTAGTTGATGCAGCAATTCGTCTTCAAGAAAATAAGGATCAGCCATCAAAGACAACATCCCGATGACATGCACTCTGCAGCACCAAGAAAAAGCCTGTAAAAACAGTGTGGGAATGCAGCACATGCAAAGTTGCACTCTGCTTGAAAAAGAAAAACTGCTTCCATAAGAACTATAGAGACTGATTTGTAGAGATGTGTTCTGTGGGCGATGGTCACAGACACTAACCACCAGAAGTGGTCATTTATTTTTCATGCATATTGAACAAAATATGTGTAATTGTCGCAAATAATTTCATTGAAACACCTGATATAGTAAATAAAACAAGAGTTTTGCTGAAAAAGTTAATTGCCTTTTCCTGCCCCTCAAAGAGCTAAGCAATTTACAATAACATACTGATCATCACTTGCAATTAATTGTTTGAATACATTGTGTTTAATTTTTGTTAAAAATATGACAGTTCCCAAAGATTAATTTTGCAATATATTCATGATTTTATGATAAAGTGTGATAAATAACTATTATTGCATAAAATTTTTATCACAATTATTTAATTAATAGGTACTCTTCTGTTATCGGGACCGGATTCAGAAATGTTTGTATGTACACGTGTGTGCTCCTGGATGCTCATATAAAGTATGTACTTACGTATGTATGTGTATATGTGTATGTACATATATATGAGAGTCTATGTGCACATACATTTCTGAATTTGGTCCAATAACAGAAGAGTACCAATTATTATATTTTATTGCCATTATTTTCATTACAATGAATTATAATATAATTATTATTATAGTTGATAATAATAATAAATTGTTATAATATTTACTATAATAATTCTTTGAACTAAAATATATGTACATTAAAATACATTGAAATAAAAAAAATATTCTTGACAATTAATTACAATAATTATACAGTACATGGTTATTACTTTTTTAATTATTTATAATTATTATTATATTTCTTCTTGATTGTTTTCAAAATGTATTTTAGATAAAAAGAATGAGAATGATTTTTATATAAACATAATAACATAAAAGAGATCTTTCTTTTTTAACTACAGAAACCACTAAATTACAGATTTCCACTAAAAAATATAAGGCTTAGTTTTTTTCCCTTAGTAGAAAGTGCAGAATCGCAAACTGCTTGCCGCATTTTTAAGAATTGCACATACATGGTATCCATGTACACGTCGACCTATTTTCACTTAAAAAAACGTCCCAGAATTGCACAAAAATGGCATTGTGCACAATCTTGATTTTATCCATGTACACTGCTAAAGTCCTAGCTAGTAACCTTTATCGCCTTACCAAAATGTCGCCAAACTACCTGTTACCATATTCCAAAGATTAGCCCATTTACTTGCCTAATGGAAGAGATACATTCATGAAGGACTTTTCAACAGGAACTGGCTCATCATTATATTAAACATACAGGAAACCATAAAAACATAGACTGGAACCAGATCTGACATATATTACTGCATTTCATTGGCTTTACCCATTTGGTCAACAGTAGACCATGTGAAACAATGTCTTCTGATGTTGAGCTAATGCATCATGACGTACAATTTTCATATATTGTATACCATTACGTACAATTTTCTGGGATAACAGATGATTCCTTAGGTAGACAGCTGTTTATTAATAACATAGAAATCTGGGACAAAAATTATCAGTTTCTCAAGGCTTTTAGAGGTCCTGCATATGGTGTCTGATGAACTCTATATACTAATACACAGTTACAAAAACTATATTCAAAATGATGCCTAAAAGAACAAACAAAACAGGAAATAACATTTCAAAATTCAACAAGAGAGTTATAACAAAAATATTTTTGAATACATACCTACAAATCAGTATGTGCACAAGTATTAATTAAAATTATTTAAATCATTTAACTGTTTTTGTATGCACAGTATGTTAATAAAGCCCTATAAGACATAGAATTGGACTAAAGGAAAGAGTTCTTACAATGCAACAGTTACTATCAAAGAAAGTGAATTTTTATCTCAAATATTCCTAATTTATAATTCTTAAGTGCTTAAATTTAATTTTTTAAAACACTTTAAAATGGCCATACTATCAAAGAAAGTGAATTTTTATAAATGCTTAAATTTAATTTTTTAAACACTTTAAAATAGCCATATCTTCTAATTTCTTACACATTTAATTTCCACAACATTCCATTCAGCAATAATTTTCAGAATTATTTACAATAAAATGTAGACCCTCATCAAATCTTATTTCAATAAGCATGGTACTAAGAGAAAAATGGTAACCCTATCATTATGATTGAGTCATTTGCTGGCTATAGATACTTTAATTTCAAATTTTATGAAACTTCTTCCTTCATCACCTCAGCAAAGCCAACTAATGCAATACAAGTAGAATCTATAGAAAATATGAAGTACAAAAAGTGAATACTGCAGCACTAATCACTTAATATTTCATTTTTTCACTGAAACTTCATTTACAGATCTTTGAGATAATAAGTTTTTGGGAAAAGTACAGAATCATGCACTGCTTGGCACGTTTTTAAGAATTGCACATACTCGGTATCCCTGTACACATCGGCCTATTTTCACTTTAAAAAAAATCCCAGAATTGCACAAAAGTGGCACTGCGCACTCCCTTGACTTTATCCATGTACACATTGCCTTATTTTCACCTAAAAATTTAAAGAAAATTGACAAAAATCTGATTTTTCTTACTCTTGTAAAAAGCGTCAAACAAATAAGTGGGCGATTCTGCACTTTACCCAAGTTTTCTAATAATCTACTCATGTCAACTTTAACTCTCCAGTTCAAAACATAAGATTGCTTGCCCATGATCTAAAAGATCACCACTGTTTTGGGGAGTTTTTCTTTGTTGCAGACTATATGTATTTTCAATTTTTACTTTTATTATTCAAATAAAAAGTCTGATAAATTTTCGATGCAAAATGAATTAGATGTACTTTCATCAATTCATGTATTCGCACAGAAGTGATGCTATTTCAAGATTATTTGTCATGGGCTAGAATAGTACAGTTAGTTATTAGAACCTTGTATTCATCCTCATAACCCTGTTAACTTCCCCCTCTTCCAGTTAAATTTACAAACACAAACATTACTGTGCATTTAAATTGTTAGGCCACTAAAATTGTTTACGAATAATAATAATTTATTCATTATGCAGACCAAATTATATTAAACTTTAATAGGCATCTATTTATAGAATTAACTTTCTACAGCATTATATTTGATTTGGTCAATAAAACGAATTTACATCGATTAAATGCAAACTCAACTGTTAATTTATTCAATACAACCGAATTCACTTACAAATATCAACATGTTTTTGCTAGGATTCATGATTCTTCCCTTTGCCGTACACACAGACAGCAGACAGACAAGGTCGAAGTACACATACAGTTAGCAGTTAATTTCATAAGTAAGCTGAATTTGACATTTCCAAAGTAAAATTTTGAAATTCTTGCAACCACATTACAGTTTCAAACAAATACAAACAAATTACGCATTTCAAAATGCCACGTGGAAGAAAGAGCATTTCTAAAAAATTGCGTAAATAAATTCACATAAGAATAATTTTAGCAGTAAAAAAATTGATATTTTCTACACGATAGGATAAAATGATTAAAAAGAATCAAAGAAGTGAAAATTTAGTCAAAGAAAAGTAGAATCAATGAGGTTTGTTCTAACCCCCTTAATTTAGCCAAATCAAGCAATACCTAAAAACATAACTTCTAATCAAGAACACCTTATATTAGGAAGTAAGGGGATTTTGCTCCCAATATTCATCAAAACAAACGAAAATGTTAAAAATAAGCGTTAATAAGTAATCTAATTAGTCCTAAAATTGTGTCTGAAAAAACGGTTTCTTTATTATTATTATTATTTTCTTTTTTATGTACCAGTAGAGTTCAATACGCGATTTGCAGTGAAAGGGGGGAAAGGGTGAAGGGAAAAAAAGAATACAAAAGGGGGGGAAGGTCTCCTGCCAATGAATTTTATCTTTTAGGGCGCCCTTTTTTTTTTATCTTTTCTCCTTTTTTACTTTTCTCTCTCTCTCTCTTTCCTTTTTTATTTTTTTTTTTTTTATTTTTTTTTTTTTTTTTTTTTTTTTTTTATTATTTTTTTTTTATTATTTTGAGTAAGAATAGAAAGAGTCTATCTCATTCACAGTATGAAAGAAAGGGTGAAAGTAAATGCACTCGAGTAAAATTCTGTGAGTATCTTTATTTTATGATAATTCATAAGTGTTATTTATGTTGATAATTTCCATGGAGAAACTGAGATTTTCTACTTTAGCCGAACAGAGATATTGGAAATTTCTTGCTTTCATCAGATTATTTTTTAATTAATAAATTTATTTCATTTCATGAGATTATGAATTTGTGTCCTTCTTTTTGGCTGAAGGTTATCTGAGAAGAGCATTTATGTTCTTTGAAATGTTTTTTTTTTTATTATTATTCTCATAATTAACTAATGGTTATTAAAATTTTTTGACTATCAGGTATAAAAGTTAGTCTTATTTAGTTAACAAAACTGCTTTTAACTACCCGCCTTTTCTTCATTAAAATTATAATTTTTTTTCAAAGTTATTTAAACACTATTTAAATTTGATATGGTATATAACCATCGCACGTGCTAGAAGGTTTATAAACTGATGACCCAGAAGAAATATTGCTTTTCATTTCTTCATTGTATACCCTGATGATCCGCCCATTTATTTTTTGTTACTATACACTGCAATTATAGAGGAATAGCCTTGAATTTCAAGACTGTTAACTATTACGCAATCTTAAATAATATAATATTTAAATTTCGTGTCTACACTATCGCCACCTGCCGTATTTAGTTATAAATTGACGTGGTAAACAACGATTACTTGGCTCAAGTTGAGATATGAGTCGTATTTTAAAGGATGTCAGCATATTTTCGTGATCTTTACATCGAATTTTTATTGACTACTTAATATGACATTGCAAAGAGGTGTTTTGATTAATATTGTTTATTTGTCACTTATTATTCTACGGAAATTACTTGCGAACTGAACAGTTCACTTTCCTAAAAAGCATCGTCGCAGTACGTATAATGTTGTCCCACCCCTTACTGCAGATTTTAGGAATAAGTTTATTTTGTTTTTCTTAAATTATTGATGTTTGCATTAAAAGTAATAGTTTCGCTGAAACGTGTAATTGTTGTACGTTGCGCTAATGAGTATCATTTTTACGAAACTGTTTCATAAATTTGATGTAATGCGCTATCGACGCATTGTTCATTTCCTGGTAAACAGATCTTCATGACGAGGTCGTTTACGTACATGACGTGATTGTTATTTAGGATGCATAAAGTTGTTTATCATTTTCGTCCACATTCTGAGTACTTTTTCCATTTAATAGCATTTCGTATAAATTAAACTATCAGTTTCTAGCGAAATACTGTCATATTGTGTGTTAATGTGATGTTAGTTCCCTTCATGAAATAAGTTGTAATTCTGAAGATGTCAATCTTTCGTGCTAATTTTTGTTTATATGGATTATAATTTACAATGGAAATTATAAAATGTGCATTTGTAAGCTATAGGCATAAATTCTGTGTATTTTAACAAGTGCGTTTTACCCTTTATATTTTTAAGTATTTGAAAACCGAATTTTTTACGATAAATTTTTGTCTAAGAAGTGAATTATGTTTGAGAGAAAATATTATTTATGAGTGCGATAATGTTGCCTTTATTGAATAGGAGTAATCAGTGTGATTGTTACTATTTGTCTCTAGACTTTTGTTACTGTTAAATTAAGTATGTTTAATTATAAATTCCTTGTTATTACTTTAATCTCTTTGGTAACCTTGAAGTTTCTCCTTTATCTGTTTCCATCTAACTGAGAGAACATAATACATTTGATAAAACCAGTGAAGGAATTTTATCAATAAATTATTAGCCATATTTTTCCTGCATGTAAATATTATATATCATAATAGGTGTTATGTATTTTTTAATCTTTTAAAATATATGCTTTAATTTTAGCTCTTGAGCTTAATCTACCTCTTGATTATTGTAAACATATTAATGGTAATATTATTTCAGTTTTGGAATAGCTTTGAAACAGAAAATGGTTATTATAAATTTTGCGATACATTATATTAATGTCAAAATCTGAGTGGAACTATATTGGAAAATATTTGTGCGATTTAAGATGATTATATAGCATTTTTCTAAATTTTGATAAGCACTAAATTTATGTAAGAATAGTTTAGTTTTTCTAACCAGTATATATCATGTAAGTATTTGAATTAAAATAGTGGAATAATTTATCGGTTATGTTAATTTGTGCATTATGCAACAGATAATCTGTGCACATACCTGTTTTCAAGGTCATTCAAATTCTTTTCTAAGTATGTAAGCTAACTACATTTTTAAATATGTATGGAATTTTACTATATGTGAGTATTAGCTCATTAATAGGAACAGATAAAATAGCAAATCGAGTATCTCGGTTATATGGTTTATCTAAGGATCATTATATGAATTCAGAAGATTATGTGTATATGTATATATATATATTCTTATACGAGAGACTTAGAAAGACTACTTATAGGCCTTTTTCTTAAATTTTAATTGTAAATATGCATTTATTGTGAATTTGTTTAAAGTAGAGAGTTTTATAAAAACAGTTTCGGCCTTGGGAATAAATTTTAAATCCTTTTTTTTTTTTTTTTTTTTTTTTTTTTTTTTGTTCAATCTGAACTTTCATAAAATAAAAATTTCAATTAGTAAAATGTTCATAATATTTTAATATATTAAATACAAAAATTTCAATACCATTCAATATAGACATTTTATTTTTTATTGCCTATTGTGTTACATTATTTCAACCAAATTTTCGGTAGATATAAAAGAGAAATTAAAAGTAAAAAATAACTTATGTTAATGATTAGTAGTTCTATAACAGGTGACTGCACATGCTATTAACTTTGTTGCTGAGTTGAAAGTGCATGGTGATTGCAAAACTGAGATCTGTAGCTAACTCATCTTACAATGTTATCTGCAAATTTTACACATAAAGGTATGGGTTATTCTGTATTTAATTCTTCGGTAAAAGTATAGTTTAAGGTACCCCTTGGCGATTTTTGCCGGTACATGGATACTGATTTTGTGCAATTCTTTGACTCGTTATGGTTGATCTTTAGATTATGGTAACTTGGCGAAAATTTGGCGACCAACTCTGCTACAGCAACCCTCTATTTTTTTTTTCGCTGCCAAAGACATGTTTCTTTTCATTTACTTAACACTTTTTCCAACAATCTACTAGCCGAATTACACTTATGCTAAAAATTTTATGTAACAAAACTGCTTAATCATGAGAAATATTAACTGCAAAATTGAGAAAAAGTGGGCAATCGCAAACTCCTTGCGCGTTTTTTCAGAATAGCACATACACATAAACCATTTACACGTCGACTTATTTTTACTTAAAAAAACATCCCAGAATTGCACAAAAATGACATTGCGCACACTCCTCACTATACCCGTGTACACTGCTTTTTTCTCATAAATTAGAAAAATTTTCTTAATCTTTAAACTCGGTAAAAAGCACATGTATGAAATTACCTGATCGCGAAAAAGTATATACCCTTTCCAAGGATGACCATTTCCACGTATAAAATAAATAAAATATCCAAAAGCTTTTACCTCTAAATTATCTATTATATTATAAACGTCACCAACGAATTTATATGCAAACATTAAAAATAGTTACAAATACTTAGTGTCAAATATTTAAATTATTTCCATACACGTTTACTTCAACTGAAACGTATACCAAATTCCTACCAACATAAAATTCACAAAATAACTATCATTTAATTAAAATGTAACTAAACCATGTACACGTCGACTTATTTTTTACTTAAAAAAACATCCCAGAATTGCACAAAAATGGCATTGCGCACACTCTTCACTATATCCATGTACACTGCTTTTTTCTTGTAAATTAGAAAAATTTCACGAAAATGCATGAAAATACTCAACGTCTACTACTCAAACATATTCCAAAATACTACAAACATATAACTCACAAAATCATGATCATTAAATTAAAATATAATTAAATTAAAAAACACTACTTAAAATATAAATAAGCACATACATTAAATTAATAAAAATTACATTACAATCCTAATTACTTTAAACTAAATCATTGCTAATAACAATTTTCCAATAATACCATATTAATTTATTTACTCCTTACATTTAGAACAATGCATAAAAATAATATCCTCAAATGATTAAGAATACTAACTTGCCTAATCTTCAGAATCTTCATTACGTGGCACGCACACTTCCCTACAGAAAGAGTTCCAATCGGCTGCAGCACTACTGCTAATTTCTAAATCCGAAATCCAGTAGTCAACTGGCAGTCTATTTACCAAGTAATAAGAAATTAATAAAATTTCACCCATACTCAAACTATTTTCAGCAAACCACGTATCCTTCCTTACACTCCGTTTCAAAAATGTCCATTTTCACCAGATTTCTTGCACCGCCATTTAAACTTATCTGTAATATCCTTCCTTTTACACAATCTCACCTTATTATTATTATCAGATAAACGTATTAAAAATTTAGAATTCACTTTACATAGCGCCATGCAATCCGAAAATTAATCAACATTATTTCACACAACACGCAATGAAGCTTAATACAAAATAATTTTTCCAAATTTACCCCCTTTTCCGATTAAAGAACTGTAATTCGTCCATTACTGTCACATGACGTATCTCATGATCTCTTATTTCCCTCACACAAAATAATGCGTAATCGGAACTGAGTACTTCTCACATTATTCCCAAAGTCCTAGGTAGTAACATTTATCGCCTCCAAAATGTCGCCAAACTACCTGTTACCATGTTCCAAAGATCAGCCCTCGTTATTTTGGCTTGCGAAGCTGCTATTTTTGCGCCAAAAATCGACGCTACATAAAGCCAAAATAACAAGGGAAACAATTGCACAAATTCGGTATCCATGCACACATTGACTTATTTTCACTTAAAAAAAAAAACTCCGAATTGCACAGAAATGGGTTTATGCACTCCTTTGACTTTATCCATGTACACGTCGACCTATTTTCACTTTAAAAAAAATCCCCCCCCCCCCAAATAGCACAAAAATGGCATTGCACACTCTTTTAAATTTATCCATGTACACGTCAACCTTTTTTCACTTAAAAAAAAATCTCAGAATTGCACAAACTTGCATTGCGCACTCCCTTTACTTTGTCCATATATACATCAATATATTTTCACTGAAAAAGTCAAAGGAACACCAAATTCTACAATATAGGCAAATAAAAAATACATAATCTCAATAAAATACATTTTAAACCAAACAATAAAATAACATAAAAAAGGAAAAACATGTTATACATTTAAGCACTACCAAAAGCAAATATTCACTTATCATGATTTTCGAGTTTGCTTCGTACACCCAGAGCTACATAAAAATCAAAATATCAATCATACTCAAAAGACTTTTTTTCAAACCAGGTACTCTTTCTGAAGGAACGCTTCACATAGTGACCATCTAAACCTTTCTTCGTATAAACCCATTCAAATCCATCTAAACAGTTTTTACGTTCTACTAGATGCATATCCTTCCTACATACAGGACACTTATCATGGCTACTAAGTAAACCTTCATTTCACACCAGTCAATTACAGCTCTTTTTCCCTTTTACTCCAAATCGTACAGAAACTTCAAATTAATCTTACTACATTCGGCCGTTCTATCGTCTAAAGAATCAAACCAACACACACGACAAAAAACACTTAAAACATCCCATGATTTAAATTTCCCAGAATCATGCACCCGATTACGTCACAATGGGGTTTCCATAACATTCAACTACTCAAGACGGTTATTCTACGCCACGAGAGTCGACAGCAAGTTGTGGGCCGCCAAATGTCGCTGCTAGTAAAAAACAGGTCTGCCC